CAAATCATTGCAAAATTGCAACGTTGGCTTACCTCTGGTACGAATGGAATTTCAATACCATTTGCGTTGACCACGCCTGCTTTTGTGATGGCAATTTCGTCACCAGACGTCGTACCGTCCTCTTTAAGTTGGAAGGTCTTTTCTGCGTTATTTTTGCCAGTAAACTTCAGCTGCGTGTAGCCCGCCGCCGATGTGAGCACGACTTGCACGTCGGCTGCCGCTAAAATGCAATCACAGAACATAAAATAGGTGTGACAGAATTTGATCAGAGTTCTTCCGTTATATCGGCACTGTCATAAACTTACGCATGTCCTCATAACAATCAGCATTAGAATTCGGCTGACACGGGCTGATTGCAGTGGTGCCGACTTTGACCGTCTGGTGAGCAGAGTTGATGAGTTAAAAGGGGTAACCTACCTTGACTTCGAACCCAGGTTCAATTAGATAGTGTAGCGGTTTGTTTGCCGGCACACCGCACTCGAATTTAATAGCTTGGGTGCTTTCTACATAGTAGAAACCAAAACAAGTGTTGACTCAGATATAAGGGTACTCGTCACAAGGATCACATGCCATCACAAGCATCTTTAATCTAAGCTTACCCAGTAGCAGTAGAAAAAGGAAGAACTGTGGATTCACCATGATTTACTGCGATAAAAAGACATTCAAGATGAATTTAAACATCAAAGTAGTTTGCACAAATAGTGACGGTAGGGATTCTTTAAATGTAACATAAGATTAAAACAAAAATCCCAGTACAACTGATAGGAAAAAAACTGCGCAAGCAATCGTACACCAACTCTGTATCGAATTTTAAGCATGAAATGCAGACACTTTTCCCTTTTTTAAAATCGCAATGAGTTCCTTTACATTACCACGGATATCGTAGTACGTTAAACCGAAAAGCTATCGCATATCGCTAATAAATCTCAAGCTAATAAAACTAAACAATAAACTAAAAGTGAAATACCGGAACTAAGCTAAATTAATCCAACTGGACTAACTTCAATTAAAGTAACTAAAGCAAAAACTAAACTAAACTACAGCTAACCGAAAACTAAACTTAAAATTTAAATAGAGCAAAACTAAACTAAAGTAGGCATTTATTTAAAGTAAACTACGGTGATACTAATGAGGAATCGTTAACAAACTCATTTGGGGATGCAGATGGCTTTATAAAGTTATATCTATCGGCTATATCCTGCGCTTAAATCAAGCAGGGAAAATAGCATTTCCTCTATTGGTAGGTCAACTAACAACAAGAAAAACGACAATTAACGGTGCACTCGTACAAAATGTGATTAGGGGCTCACCTCGGGCAAGAAAGATTTTTTTCACAACGACCTGTCTGAGCAATATGCTCGTGCACAGCTAGCAGTTGCTTTGTGGTTGAGAAAAGATGAAATGACACGCTCCTTTTATAGTCTGGCTTCTAGTGCCGCAGTCAGAAACGTCAGTCAGCTGATGCAGCGTCTGAGTGTGCGGCTTGATTTGGCATGACTCGAATCCACAGTGCTGACTTGCGCCATCGATATGCACTATTGTGTTTGCGCTACATCTCTAGCGCCTTGTGACAATCAGCAGACAATACGACGGTCTGCTTCGCCCTAAAAAAGGCAGAAGTTGTATGCTTCCGCTCTCTTTAATGTCAAAAATTGTTACGTCGACTGCTTTACCTTCTTTAAGCAGATAAGCATTGACAACAGAATCGCCCCAATGCAAAATTAAAATATTTCACAGTTGAGACGGTCACACAGACAATTAGGAGCCATCTAGTTTGCAATTTCAAAACTTTTGAAAAATGTAGCCTGGTATGCACTGGAAAGTCGGCATCCCAAGAAATATAATTCGGTAGAAGAAGTTCTTTGGGAAAATGTTGTTTATTGAGTAAATTTTCGACACTGGCTCGTCAGTAAGGAAGTCATTTACAAGATCTCCTGTAGCGGCTGCAATGCAGTTTATTGCGGACAGACAGGAAGATCAGCCTCTAGCTGCTTATGCGAACATCGAAGAGCGGTAAAAGGGCGCTATCACTTGCCTGAAGTCGCCATGCACACAATTGAAACTGGACAGTTTGCGGGGGACG